CCCCCCCCCCCCCCCCCCCCCCCCCCCCCCCGCCAAAGGAATACAGCAGGGAATGGTAATTCTGTAATTTAAAAACACCAGGTGAAGTCGGAGGCAGAGGCAAGCAGATCTCTGAGTTTGAGGTCAGCCTGGTCTGAAGAGCAGGATCCAGTAGGCCAGGGCTACACAGAGAAACCTTGTCTCGAAAAATAAAACAAAACAAAACAAAATACCCCCCAAAGCCAAACCAACCCACCGACAAACCAACCAACCAATCAAGCCCTACTAAGTAAGCCGTCAGCTAGAGGAAGGGGAAAGTCAATTTAGTAGCTCACAAGGTAGGTAGGAGAATACAGAGCTGGAGCTGATATGGGTTCACATGTCCTATCTAAGCCAACTGACTGATTTTCAGTCTTGAAGGATCCTTAATTACTACCCTACCCCACGGAAAAAAATAGTAAAAGCTGGGAAGGGCAGCATACTCTGATATTCCTAGCACTTGGAAGGTGGAGGCAGGAGGATGAGGAGTTAAAGGTCAGTAGCCACAAAACCAGTTCAAGATTAAGCTGAGCTACAGGAGAACCGTCTCAAAAAGCAGACAAAAACACCACCAAGGGGGATGAGGGTGTAACTCAGTGGCAGAGCATGGGATTTGCAAGCATGAAACACCGGGTTTCATCCCCAACACCAAAAAAGGTTGAGCGGGCAAAGAACACAAGGACGAGGATCCCGGGTTCCAGTGTACACCGCAGTGACAGGGACCAGGCTCTCCAGATGCCCTGTGAACACAGAGGCTGGGAGGACACAGCTACGGAGCAGCACACAGAGCAGGGCTGCTTCCTCCTTCCTTCTGCTGTCCTTCTGTAAAGGTAACATACTGGAATAAAAAAGGGGGGGGGGGCAGGCCATGTGCCAAAGCCAAGAATAAGATGATATGAAACAATCAGGCCAAGGGCGGGCTGTTTTTTAAGGAAGCTGTCCTCCAAATGGAGTCTGCTGATATTTATCCAATGCCTTCCCATCCCCCACCAAAATCCCTGGCTGGCCTTTTCTGGAGGCCAGCCAGATGAAGGCAAGAAAAGGGCCCCTCCTGTTGGCATCAGCAGTAGCCACGGGCACAAGCCAGGGGCGGCCTCCGTAGCTCCAGGGCTCCCCACATCACCAGCCTCCGCCAGCGGCTCAGCGCAGGCTCAGCTTCCCTCAGCCCCCAACTGAATATCCAAGAACAGCTATTAAGTAGGCGTGCGTTCTGTGTACTGTCTGAGGTACAGCAAAGTTAGAAAGGCAACGTTTTCCAGCGCTGGCAGAAACCAGAGAAGCCCTTCGAAGGAAACTGTCCTTCTTTCTCCAGAGTTCCCAAGTGGCATTTCAGAGCGCAGGAATTCAGTCTACCTAGAAGGTCCTCTCTGGTCCTGACTCAGTGACATACCAAAGGTCCTAGCAGGAGCAGAGACTGCCAGAACCTTCATGAACAGGGCATTTCCCCACGCTGGCTCTTCCAAGAACCAGTGCCCCCCATTGCACTTAGGTTATCACAGTAAAAATGCATTTATATCAAGTAAAAAAAAAATCACAGTGCAGAAAAGATGTATACATGTGCATGTTCAGCGTTCAAGTGGATATGTTTTTTTTTATAGGCATGTTAACGAATTTCATAACACACACACACAAAAAAAACCAAACAAAACAAAACAACAAATAATCTCAGAAATCTGCAGTGGTCCCAAGTATTGTAGGAGAGATTAAATAAAAACAGGTGTGGATCATTAACAGCTTATCAGATAAATCAAGTTACAGTCTTGCCCTTCAGATTAAAGTGCTCCAGTATAACCAATGCTCCTCACCTTCAGGGTAAGGACACACACAGAGAGGTTCTTCACTGATAACCACAACTACCCCTACCTTGTCCAGCCCACTTGGCCTGTGATTCGTCTAGCAGAGATGTTAAGATTTGATGAGATTTTATTACAACCAGGAAGAAAAGAAACGAACACGAAAACACTTAATTCCAGTATGAGGTGACCAGCAATAAAATTCCCTCTACTAGTGAAAAAGGGGCTGAGTTATAAAAAATTATATGTATATATTTTAATACAGCAATCTACCAGGCATGGTGACACATACCTGCAATCCCCGTATTTGGGGATTGGCTGAGGCAGGGGACACGAGAGCTTGAAGCCATGGAGTCTCAAAATAGCAGCAACACAACTGCCCCCAATCAGGAAGGAGCAGTCTAAAAGCAAATGTCATCTTGTAGCGCTTCACAATATTTACTTATTATTGAAGTGTGGGGTAGGGTGGGGTAGGGGCTGGTGTGCTCGACCACTGAGCACTTCCCCCAGCCCTAGCCCAAGTCTCCTTCATCTTGAGGAATTGGTGGACTCTAGTCTACTCCCTTCCAGGAAAGCCAGCAAGACAGGCCGAAGGACCCTTCCGAAAACCATTCTCTACCTCCCAGAACTGCTGCAGTAACCGTCTGGAGCACAGTCCTCTCTCCAGGCACTAGAAATCCAGGCCGACAGGAATCCTGTTACAAGTGGAGGGGCTCTGACCATTTTCCCGTACATAAATGGAAAGTGATTCTTACTATTTTTTATTTTATGTGCATTGGTGTTTTGCCTGCGTTCATGAGTGAGCGTCGGATCCCTTGGAACTGGAGTTACAGACAGTTGTGAGCGGCCATGTGAGTGCTGGGAATTGAACCCAGGTCCTCTGGAAGAGCTGCCAGTGTTAACCACTGGGCCATCTCTCCAGCCTGAACAGCGACTCTTTAATTCCGTCACGTCTGCAGGAGATGGCCCTATGGATCTAAAAAGCGCTATGTGTGCACGTGTGTGCACATGTGTTTGAGTGTGCTTACCTATGGGGGAGTATACGAAGGGCAGAGGTCTATGGTAGCTTCTTCACCGAATTGTTCAAGCCAGGCTCCCTCACTGAACCATTCACCTAGAATGGCTGGTCAGTGAACCAACCCTTGGGATCTACCTGTCTCTACCCCCCAATACCCACGAGCCCAACCCCTACCCAGGCACAAGCCACCACTCCTGTCGTTTTTGCCCAGGTGCTGAGAATCCAAATACAGATCCTCATGCAAGCGCTTTATCCACTTTATCCACTGTCTCCCCACCCACAAAGAGCATATTTTTAAGGCTAGAGTAGGTATTGGAAAAGGCAGTTTGTTCAAGATCTAAGAAGCATGCCCAGAGGCCTTCTGTAAACAACTGTGCTCCAATAAAAAGGCATCAAACACAGCTGTCATTCCAACACTTGGGAGGTATGTGTGGGATCAGAAATTCAAGGCTAGTCTCAGCTATATAATGAGTTCAAGAGTAGCCCAGGTTATATAACCCCCCATCCTGAAAGCAGAACAATGACCCCCAAACAAAACCCCTACCAAAAACAACCCTTGAGCCCTGGAAGTTCACATGATATGACAATTTAGCATCTGCCACACCTGAGTGCTCAGAGGCCAGGAAAGCAGGTGAAACAGCACCCATCGCACAGGCCCTTTCTCAGCCCACCCTAAGGCTGGCTTCATGGAAAATGAAAATCTCAGTTATCAAAGGGCAACAAGCCCAGTGTTAAAAAATACATTATTTCCACTGGTGCCCCCGAATCGATGGCTCAGGTTCAAATCTTATATTTACAACTTGGTTAAAGGCACAGTGGCATTTTAAAAAATAAATCTCTGGGAATGGAGAGTAAAAGAGTCATTGTAATAATTAACCTGGTTTCCAACTAGGAGAATTAACTCTTGATGGCCAGCCCACACACAGGCGATTGAGCCTGAGTGCGGGTTTCGATGGAAACGAGCGCGCAGGGCGCCGGCTTCTCTCCTGTGGCTCACATCTTTCCAGCCTTTCTGCCCGTCTGTGTCTGCGCCGGCACTCGGAGGATGTTGGGCGTCTCTTCCATGACCCGGACCAGCAGGTTGTCAATGTAGTCCTCCAGCTCGCGCACCTGAAACTCCTTCTTGCTGATGGTTTCCTTCTGTTTCAGGACCAGCTGGATCAGCTCGTCGTGGGTCAGCTGCGAGTAGGCGAAGGCGGGATCCGAGGGCTGGTATTTCTTTGGAGAGGGGAGGAAGAGGGAAAAGGTTACAAGTCGGCAGAGGAACCAGACATCTGAAGGGGATGCAAAAGAGACTGTAAAAACCAAGGGCGTGGGTGTAGCTCGGTAGCACAGCACTTGCCTAGGATGTGTGAAAGCCTCAAGTTTGATCCCCAGCACCGGAACACTTGAAAAGCAGAAACCTTACTCGGCTTATAGTTCTCACACTTCTGTTCTTGACTCTGTGTACATGTTTTCAAGAAATGTAATAAAGGAGGGGGGGGGGCGGCGGCTGGAAAGACGCCTGGCAGTTAGTTAAGAGCACTGGCTGCTCCTCCAAAGAACCCAGGTTCAAGTTCCCAGCGCTCACATGGCCGTTCACAGCTGTCTGTAACTCCATTTCCAGAGGATCTGATACCCTCACACATAAAATAAATTAAATAAAAGATAAAACATTAAAAAGGAAAGTACTGGTTGCTCTTTCAGAAGACCCAGGTTTGATTTCCAGCACCCATACGGTGGCTCATAACTCTCTGTAACTCCAGTCCCAGAAATCCAGCCAGTGTGCTACTACACACTCATGGGCACAGAGATATATGCAGGCAAAACAACCACATAAAAGAAAAGAAGGACCATAATGAGGCCTTTATGGGGGAGAGGGAAAAAGAAGAGGAGGAGGAGGAAGAAGAGAAGACGGAGGAGTAGAAACACATCATCAGGCAGTAGTAGTCTAGTCACACAATCGGCCAGGCTCAGGCTTGGGAGGCTGAGGTACACAGACCACTTGACCTCCTAAGTTTGACACCAGCCTTGAAAACTCAGGGAGTCCTTCGATGCAGAGCTGGGACAAGCCCCAAGGCGGATTGGAAAAAAAGATGTTGGGGAGCACCCTCTTGTCAACATAGCGGGTGTCTGCCAGTCAGCCCAGTCATTCTGCTACCCCTGAGCCTCCCCTGAGACCCTCCCGAAACTTACTCCACACTCTCAAAACATGCATTGCTAAAGCCAAGTGCCACCAGGCTACGGACCTCACAACCCACCCCAGTACACAGTCTCTGGGTACACAGTGGCCTTTCTCAGAGACTGACTGTTCTCTGACGGGGGCGTGTACCCGGAACAGTTACTTTTAACCAGCATTTATCATCTGGGACAAGGAGACTCTAACTGCAAGCCCAGGAGTTCTGAGCCAGAAGGAACTGAGCGATAAAAGACTCAATCAGAAGTAACAAGTCACACCAAGGTCTCAGGAGGGAGTCAGAGGAAAGCCCTGCAATCTGCAGATTTACAAGCTGTAGGAGACAGGACTTGGGAGAAACTCAAGGTGACTTTTGCCCAAAGAACTCCAAGGTAGTAAAACAGTTTGTTTGTTTTTTCCGCCCTGGGGCCTGCCACTTTCACCTTCTACCGTAAAGACCAATAGTTAAGAGCCCACGGTCTCCAAGCAGAATCAACACTAATAGTCAGACAACTGTTTGTCAACAACAGCACAGAAGCCCCTGCTCCATTCAGGGAGCCATCTGCACAGGGAGACACATTCAAAGGAATCCCACTCTCTCACTGGCTGGCTTAGAAACACATACTGCTTGTTCTCACACTCAGAGCAAGCTTGAACCCAAGTCAGGAGGCTCAGGAATAACAGAGATGCTGGACTATTTCTCTGACATTTACTTCTCCTTGGCCCCCAACTCTTACTTTCATTCTTTCAACTTATTGAGGACATACATTCAGAGTTGGTATGCCCTTGGTCCCCGATTTTGTTTCTGCTGCTAGGGGTTAAACTCAGGGTTTTGTGCATGACGGGCAAGTGCTCTACCACAGAGCTACAACCTCTCCAGTCACTGTATGTGTGGCTTCTAAACTGGATTCAGACTGGGCGTGATAGCGCATACCTGTAATCCCAGTACTCAAAAGACAAAGGCAAGGAGAGCTTGAGTTTGAGGCTAGCCTGAATCATGAAGCAAGCTCTATGTCAGCCTGGGCTACAGTAAGACACTATCTCAAAGAACAAACAAGGCCAAAAATCAGATTCAACAAAAAAGTTTGATGTCTGCAAGTGGACACACAACAATGTGGATATATTTAACACTATTAAATTAGGTTAACAAGGTACAATGAGGCTGGGTGTGGTAGACAGATCTTTGTGAGTTTGAGGCCAGCCTGGTCTACAGAGGGAGTAGGACAGCCAAGGCTACAAAGAGAAACCCTGTCTCACAAAACAAAAGCAAAAAATAAAAAAAGAAAGAAAGAAAAGAGAACAAGTAACATAATTTTAAAAAGTAGGTACAGATCTAAATAGAATTTACAAAAGACGAAACAGAAATGACTGAGAAACAAAGAAACGTTCAACATCTTTAATCATCAGGGAAATGCGAACAAAACTACTCTGACATTTCAGCTTCCACCAGTCAGAATGGCTAAGATCAGTAAAGCAGATGACAGTTTATGCTGTCAAGGATGTGGAGTAGGGGGAACACTCCTCCATTGCTGGTGGGAGTGCAAACTTGTACAGCTACTATGGAAATCAGTTTGGCATTTCCTCAGGAAGCTGAGACTAGATCCCATGATCTAGAGAAACCACTCTTGGGCACATACACAAAGGACTGCCTCCTATTCCAGAGACACTTGCCCATGCACGGCTATTCTGTTCACCACAGCCACAGACTGAAAACAGTGTAGTTGTCCACAGAAAGATAAAGAAAATGTCATACATTTACATAATGGGCTATTCTTGAGCTGCTTAAAAAAAAAAAATCATGAAATTCACTGGTAAGTAGGTGAAGCTACAAAAAAAAAAAAAAAAAATCATCCTGAGTGAGGTAATCCAGACCCAAAGACAAATATGGTATGTATCTTATATGTGGATGTTAGCTTAAGCCTCTTGATAGAGTGCTATAATCCATAGAACCACAGAGATTAGGTATAGAATAAGAGGTTTGTGAGGAGGGATCTCCCAAGCAGGAGGAAATAGACACACAGACACACACAGACACACACACACACACACACACACACACACACACACACACACACACGAAGAAATTGAAGAGCGGGGGAGATTGGAACAGGAAGATTAAATGGGTAGGTAGAAGGAAGAGGAGGTTAAGGGAGAGAATACGGGGCGGGGGGTTACAACTAGCACTAGCCACTTAAAGAGTCATATGGAAATCTTCTACAGTGCAAGTTCCTTAAACTCTATAGATCCATGAAGGAAATCTAAATGGAGCCACCAAATAACAAGGGAGACATGGCCCTAACCAGACACCTCTTGCCAGCAAGTGAAACCTTTATCGCAAGGAATGGGTTGCATCTTACTAACCAATTATCAATTAATTAACCCAAGTAACTAATCTCAACAGGTCCCATGAAAACCCCCAAGCAACCCAGACTATTGCCAAAGCTGTGGGCTGCTCTCTACAAACTGATGGTGAGGCCCTGTTCCTGAAGACAACACCTACACAACCCGCTGAGCACGAAGAAGTTGTAAAAGAAGGCTAACAAGCGCCCTCACTGCCGCTGACTGATGCTCATGGTACTGAAGGTGTTCCGTACGCTACCAGAGGAGACATGTGCCCAGCAACCCAGCTACAGACCCTTCCATCTGCAGTGGTGGCTGCCTGCAGAAGATACCGCTTCAACAGTATCACAAAAAGCTGGGTGTGGCGGCACACACCTTGTTTTGTTTTGTTTTTTTGAGACAGGGTTTGTGGCACACACTTTTGGTTTCAGCACTCAGAAGGCAGAGGCAGGAAGGTCTCTTAGTTCGAGGCCAGCCTGGTCTACGTAGTGAGTTCCAGGACAATAAGGGTTAGAGAGAAAGACCCATCTCACAAAAAAAAAAAAAAAAAAAAAAAAAAAAAAAAAAAAAAAAGTGGCACAAAAATTGTGGGAGTAAACAGTCACTATCTGATCAGATTGAAAACCCACACCATGAGATGCAACCCATGCCTGAAAACTGCTCCAGTAGCCAAGAACCTAAGATTAGATAGGGTATGGATCAAGGAGAAAACCGAACACTCTTGTTCTGCTCAAGAACTGTAGTAATAAAGTGATTCCTAATGACACTCTGCCATACCTATAGATCTGTCTCCCTCAGCCATCATCAGAGAAGCTTCCTCCTGCAGCAGATGGGAACAAATACAGAGACCCACCATTGGACCATGTGCAGAGAGCGAGAGATCTCAGGACACTTATAGGGTACCTATCAAGTCTCTCCCCTCAGGGAGGGAGCAGGGAACTCTGGGAAGAGGGGGCAGAAAGAGTGTGAGAGCCAGAGGGAATGAAGGACACCAAAGAAAGAAGGCCTTCTAGACAGAAGCTGGACTGACAACAAAGACTGTGGCAGCATGCTCAGAGGCTGCACAGGTTCAAGCCAGAGGAGGTCCCAGTGCTGAGAGGGAGAAGTAGACACAGCCTCCATCCCTAACCCGAAAGCTATCTTCAACTGACAACCACTTGCAAAGGAAGTATTAGCTTCTCCAACAGAGTCTCCCTAGGTATACAAACCACCCTTAGGGGTCCTATGAGCAGGAGTAGATGGCCAAGTCAAAACAAAGTCAATAGTCTTTTTTTTTTCCTTTGGTCTCATTTGCTTTGTCTGGGGATTTTTTTTTTTTTTTAAGTTACTGGTCTTTTGCTTGCATATTATTATTTCAAACTTTGTGTTTTTATGGGTTTTGATTGTTTGTGTACTTTTTCTTTTTATTCTGGTTTTAGTTTGTTTTTACTTGCCTGTATATTCTGTAAAGAGAGAGAGAAAGAAGGCATGGAGTTGGATGGTTGGGGAGGATCTGGGAGGAAATGAGGGAAGGGAAACCATAATCAGAATATATTATATGAAAAAATATTTAAAAGAAAAAAGCAAAGGTGAAGAGCTATTGAGAAAGAGAGCTGACTACAACTTCTGGCCTCCACACACATCTGCATACACCCACACAAACACTGGGGTACATGCATATAATTCACACAAAGAAACTTTGAAGTAAAATAGGACACGATGCATACACCTTTCTTTTCCAGGGTTCAGACAGACAGAAAAAAATGACACATGCAGTGGTACACAGAGAAAGAGTAGGAGGGAGAGGGAGGAGCAGGAAGAGGTGGGGCAAACTGGGTCAAATGTGAACAACTGGAGAATCCGGACGAAGGTCTATGGCAGTTCTCTGATGTGTTTTTGAAACTTTCAGTGATACTTTTATCACTATACACCCATATCAAGAATTTTATATTTTTGCCTAAAGATAAATAGAAAAGATGGGGAAAGGAAATCCTTTCTTTAAAGAGAAATGGCGGGTAGGTGTGGTGGCGCCTGCCTGTAACTTCTCAACACTCAGGAGGCTGAGTCATGAGTATTGTCACGAGTTTAGGGCAGCCTGGCCTACACAATGAGTTCTAGGCCAGCCCAGGCTCTAAGAATCCTGTCTTTAAAAAAACAAAACAAAATAAGTAAACAAAAAAGTATCACCATACTCAATAAGCAGACAGTGCTGGTGACTCATGTTGCTAGAGACAAAAGAGAATTCAGTAAGAAATAAATAATTATAAGAAAACTAATTATCTATTCAACAGGGAGCCTGGAGGCTCTCAGAGCTTATCCAGACTCCAGACACATCACAGTAAATAATTCCCAGAATTGCTTGCTGCCCAAGTACTTTAACTTCTGCTTTTGTTCTGAGATAGCCTCTTGCCATGTTGCCCAGGGTGGCCTCGAGGCTAATGAGCTCAAAATGTCCTCCCATCAGCCCCCTGTGGAGCTGCATTGGCTGAGGCCAGCTCTAATGGTGACTCCATACATGTAACTTCCACAGATCTTAACTGTGCCAACTCCTCCGAACACTCACCTTCATAATGGTTTCGTTAATCAGGTTTTCACTGATGATGGCAGCAGTTCCCAAGCTAGAGTTTGCAGTCTTAGTGGCTGTTGTGTTCATTGGCTTCACGGGATGAAGCCTAGAGAAAGACAGGAAAAAGACCCGTAAACCTTCAGTAACCACAAAGCTGAAACCCACTGAACTCAAAGATGGCTGCCGGCAAGCCAGGCAAGGTATGGGGGTGGGGTGGGGAAACATTTCTGGTCCAACAGCCAGCCTAATGCCTTAGCTCCTGTGGAATTCAAAGTAAGCAGAACCAGACAGCCACAAACAACCAGCAACACACATCCCTTGCCAACTCTAAGTCCGTCAGTCGAGTTATGAGCACAAGAACATGAAGACCATCTCTCACGCTGGAACGTATCTCTGTAGCAGAGTACTTTCCCAGCATGCACAAGGCCTCAGGCTCCATCCCCAGCACTGAAAAAAAAATTATCTTAATTAAAATAAACAAACAAATAAATAAATAAATAAATAAATAAATAAATAAATGAATAAATAAATAAAATGTAAGCAGTGAAGAAGAAAGAAAGAAAGAAAGAAAGAAAGAAAGAAAGAAAGAAAGAAAGAAAGAAAG